AAAAAATGGGCTCACGTGGGCAACGAGTTACTCTTGTGAGCCAAAGACGAGTACACAGATATACCAATGTGTGAATAAATATACTCCCGTGTAAATATACATACTGTCCTGTAATATATACCATCATGTAAATTATCCAAAAAGGACTACGGTATTTTCCTTCAAAAATCCCAAAACCATCCCTAACCAACACCATCTTTGCACTTAAAAAGTGAACACCAATTCACCATAAAGGTGCCCAAACTCATTGGAACTCATAAGCTAAGGAGCGTCGAGGCTGGTTAGTACTTGGATGGGTGACCACCAGGGCCTGGACATGATCGTGCTGTATGTATATGTCAAGTATACATGTGTGTATATACCACCCCACACCTCGGATTAGCACGGCTGCCTACGTATGGGTTTCCCCGGGTTCTCCGGTTTCCTCCCTATGCCACCCCCACTCACTAAAGCTTTGGCCAGACATCTCAATGCAGGCCTCTCATGAACCGACTCGTGGTGCGGAAGGACTGCCCCTTACGATAACCACATGGCTTCCTGTGTGCGTCCTCGATCCATATTAATCACAGTGCAATCCACATGTGCAACAACGCAATGTCGAAATAGAGTTGCGAGTTGTGGATGCAACGGCCAGTTTTTCAAATGTTTTTTTGGGCAGCAGGGGAGGCGCAGTGGTACAACTCGCGCATCACAGCTAGAAAGGGCCCGGGTTAAATTTGTGATTCGGGTGTCCTTTCTTTGTGGTGTTCGCACGTCCCCCCCCCCACCCCCCGTTTTGCATGGGCTAAGGGTCTTATGGTTTCCTCCCATAGCTAAAATAACCATAGAATGTCACCGGGATTGGCCACAACATCCCAATGCTGAACAATTACCTGAAAGTTACTCGACTGGGATTACACACAACGGTGACAACGCCCTCCCCTCCTATGAAAATGTGGCAGGACCCTCCCGACAAAACATCATTGAGACTCAGTGAGGCTTTCCTGGGTAAACAAGTGTTATGTGAATGATGAAAAAATCCTCTGCACTGCAGACAAATCGAGTAATGTAAGCAATATACAAATACACACTGGGTATAAACGCTGTTAATAGAGGAGCTGCTCTGTGGTAACTACAGCTCCGGTGGCACTTCTTTTATCAGTTCAAGGGGCCGTATTGGTTGATAAAGTTGGTGGTGAGACGTTAACTTACCTCGCTTGGTATACCGGAGATTGTGGGTTCGATCGCGACTCTGACGACTGTATGTTGGTGTTTGCGTGTTCTCCCCATGGTTGCGTGGATTCTTTCTCCGGGTCCATCCACATTAGAACATGCGTTTATATTATTTGGCTGCTATACTTTTCCGCATGATAAAGCTACTTAATTGAGCTATCATATTATGGCCAAGGTCGCCTCTAAAAATAGCTGTATATCTCAGTAGGCCTTACCGGGTAAGAATAAAAATGGTTTAATTTTTTATACAACTAATTTCATCAAGTTCCAATAGCACCATATGTAAGCTTCAGTATTTGATAAAACTTTATAAAACTAAGATGAGAGTGAGTGTGGACGAGTCATTGTATAATAGTTTAACACTTTAGTATTCGTGCTATCATTTTAAAGGCATCATCACGAAAGAAGGCGCTGCTATGTTTCACAGACAGTGTCAAGTAGTTTCACAGTAGGGAGAGATGATTGTTGCTGTCTGTAATCGCAATTGAGCAATGTGCAGATGTTTTTTAAATTTGGCAAATTTTCATTGTGACGCCAGCCCACAATGGCCCTCCTCTTTTCGAATGATCTTATGGGATCTTAACTTCCACTGTGAATTTTTAAAGACAAGGCGCATTAATAACCATGGAGATCGGGCAGATTCGAACGGTGAAACTCTGCAACGAAGCGGCGAACGCACTACACCGCTGGGTCGCGTCACTGCCGCAGGCGGCTGGTGGACAGGGCTGCTGATGGAACAGTAAAACTGCAAGTCGGATGGAGGTGGGGGTGATCATGGTGAACAAGTGGACGTGAAGTCGAAGTCACGACCCCAACGCTTTAGCCAAGATGACCTCTTGACCCTGGCTGAGGCTCACGCAGCACGCCACAGGGGGGTGGTAGTCAGAACCACACGTACCTCGTGATTTTTCTCATCACGACTACATCCTCTTCCGCTCCCTCATCTTAGGGCGAAATGACGAAGGACACCCAGAATAATTTCGGAGACCAATTGCTCGCGTGTTATGCACAGCAGCATAAGAAGCCACCCTGAATCACAGCGATCACTGTGCTCCACTGCATCAACGTTCTGCACGTGCAGCGCAGTGTGAACATTCGCGCGTCACAGCAAGTAGGGCCTGGGTTTGATTCCCAATTTAGACGCCTATCTGTGTGGCGCTTCTATGTTATTCCCCTATTCTGCATGGGTTTCCTCAGCTTCTCCAGTTTCTTCCCACAGCTAAAACAATCTTGGTAAACAAGCACAAGAATAATGTACCCGCACACATGTTCACACGGTGCATATGCATCACTGGCAATGAATATGAGAGCACATCAACTGTTGCAACGTTTAAAGTCAACATTCAAGGTTAAGAGGTCATCACGGCCAACACGGCCAAAACCACCACTCCTCGTGTTGGCTTCCTGCTGCCAGGTGCCGCGGATGGGGGTGAAGCCCGCCAGGACACCTCCAGGGTCTGTCCCGACGGAACCCGGCGGCCACTTGGCTTCGTTAAAGCTCTTTGCTCTGGCCCTCAAAGTCTGAATGCCGACTCCGATGCCCATATCTCTTTTCCCCAAATAATAAAGTAATAAATAATAAATAAATAATACATAACTAATACACTCGTTTGTCTGTCTGTAACACACGGGGGGGGGGGGGGGGGGGGGGGGGGGGGGTAATAAAAGACCGGTTCGGTCCCGGTGGGGGTTATGTGAGGCGGAGGGGAAGGGGTTGATTGGGCTGAGGTGGAGAGGAGAGCCGATGATCTCAGAGACATCGCTGGGCTGTTGGGGAGAGAAGTACCGACGTCACAACAGTCTGGGGTGGGGCTGTGAGGAAGAGAGGGGGAGATGACGCCACAGGACGCGGAAGGGGCAAACGGGGGTTATGATGTCGCGAGACCTGCGGTGGCGAGGTGGAGGGGTGCGATGACGTCAAGAGACGGGGGGAGCTGAAGAGACGGATAATGGCTTCACGCGACACCGGTGAGGTGGAGACGGATGATTTCGCGCAAGAATTGGGTTCTGAGGAGGCGTTGATGACGTCACGAGATGTATAATGTGGTGAGGAGAGGTGAAATGATGTCACGCGAAACTGGTGAGTTGGAGCAGAATGGGGTATGACGTCACGCTAGATTCCGGTGAATTGGTAAGATGGGGGTGACGTCACAAGACACGAGGCGTGATGGGGAGAGGGGTTGATGACGTCACGCAGCACAGGTGAGGTGGAAAGGTACCAAGTGATGACTTCAAGAGACATGGGAGTGGAAAGCACTAATTGCAAAAAAAAGACGAATACTATTTAAATAAAACGGAGCACCCGGAGAAAATCCCACGCATGCGAGATGGCAACACTCTATCCCCCTGTGCTGCCTTCTCGAGAGCCAGAAGGCAGCACAGGGAACAGAGTTTTTGCAACATCTGTGCGATCCACCAACTCTCGCTGCCTCCACAATGCTGTATTACAGGCCACGTGCGTAGCCACCACTGCCAGGCAGCAACTACCCAACCTCCAACCTCGCCTACTGCAACCACCTCTTCCCGAAGGCACCTACAACCACGTTCCTGAAGGCACCTACAACCACGTTCCTGAAGGCACCACCAACCACCCTCTTCCCGAAGGCACCTACAACCACGTTCCTGAAGGCACCTACAAACCACGTTCCTGAAGGCACCTACAACCCACGTTCCTGAAGGCACCTACAACCACGTTCCTGAAGGCACCTACAACCACCTCTTCCCGGAAAGCACTACAACCACGTTCCCGAATGCACCTACAACCACGTTCCTGAAGGCACCTACAACCACGTTCCCGAAGGCACCTACAACCACGTTCCCGAAGGCACCTACAACCACGTTCCTGAAGGCACCTACAACCACGTTCCCGAAGGCACCTACAACCACGTTCCTGAAGGCACCTACAACCACCTCTTCCCGAAGGCACCTACAACCACGTTCCCGAAGGCACCTACAACCACGTTCCTGAAGGCACCTACAACCACGTTCCTTAAAGCACCTACAACCACGTTCCTGAAGGCACCTACAACGACGTTCCCGAAGGCACCTACAACCACGTTCCCGAAGGTACCTACAACCACGTTCCCGAAGGCACCTACAACACGTTCCCGAAGGGACCTACAACCACGTTCCGGAAGGCAACCTACAACCACGTTCCTGAAGGCACCCACAACCACGTTCCTGAAGGCACCTACAACCACGTTCCCGAAGGCACCTACAACCACGTTCCTGAAGGCACCTACAAACCACCTCTTCCCGAAGGCACCTACAACCACGTTCCCGAAGGCACCTACAACCACGTTCCCGAAGGCACCTACAACCACGTTCCCGAAGGCACCTACCAAGCACCTACAACCACGTTCCCTGAAGGCACCTACAACCACGTTCCTGAAGGCACCTACAACCACGTTCCCTGAAGGCACCTACAACCACGTTCCTGAAGGCACCTACAACCACGTTCCCTGAAGGCACCTACAACCACGTTCCTGAAGGCACCTACAACCACGTTCCTGAAGGCACCTACAACCACGTTCCCTGAAGGCACCTACAACCACGTTCCTGAAGGCACCTACAACCACGTTCCCGAAGGCACCTACAACCACGTTCCCGAAGGGACCTACAACCACGTTCCTGAAGGCACCTACAACCACGTTCCTGAAGGCACCTACAACCACGTTCCTGAAGGCACCTACAACCACGTTCCTGAAAGGCACCTACAACCACGTTCCTAAGGCAACCTACAACCACGTTCCCGAAGGCACCTACAACCCGTTCCTGAAGGCACTACAACCACCTCTTCCCGAAGGCACCTACAACCACGTTCCCGAAGGCACCTACAACCACGTTCCTGAAGGCACCTACAACCACGTTCCTGAAGGCACCTACAACCACGTTCCTGAAGGCACCTACAAACCACGTTCCTGAAGGCACCTACAACCACCTCTTCCCGAAGGCACCTACAACCACGTTCCCGAAGGCACCTACAACCACGTTCCTGAAGGCACCTACAACCACGTTCCCGAAGGCACCTACAACCACGTTCCCGAAGGCACCTACAACCACGTTCCTGAAGGTACCTACAACCACGTTCCCGAAGGCACCTACAACCACGTTCCTGAAGGCACCTACAACCACCTCTTCCCGAAGGCACCTACAACCACGTTCCCGGAAGGCACCTACAACCACGTTCCTGAAGGCACCTACAACCACGTTCCTGAAAAGCACCTACAACCACGTTCCCGAAGGCACCTACAACCACGTTCCCGAAGGCACCTACAACACGTTCCTGAAGGCACCTACAACCACCTCTTCCCGAAGGCACCTACAACCACGTTCCTGAAGGTACCTACAACCACGTTCCCGAAGGCACCTACAACCACGTTCCCGAAGGGACCTACAACCACGTTCCCGAAGGGACCTACAACCACGTTCCTGAAGGCACCTACAACCACGTTCCTCAAGGCACCCACAAACCACGTTCCTGAAGGCACCTACAACCACGTTCCCGAAGGCACCTACAACCACGTTCCTGAAGGCACCTACAACCACCTCTTCCCGAAGGCACCTACAACCACGTTCCCGAAGGGACCTACAACCACGTTCCCGAAGGCACCTACAACCACGTTCCTGAAGGCACCTACAACCACGTTCCTGAAGGCACCTACAACCACGTTCCTGAAGGCACCTACAACCACGTTCCTGAAGGCACCTACAACCACGTTCCTGAAGGCACCTACAACCACGTTCCTGAAGGCACCTACAACCACGTTCCTGAAGGCACCTACAACCACGTTCCTGAAGGCACCTACAACCACGTTCCTGAAGGCACCTACAACCACGTTCCTGAAGGCACCTACAACCACGTTCCTGAAGGCACCTACAACCACGTTCCTGAAGGCACCTACAACCACGTTCCCGAAGGTACCTACAACCACGTTCCCGAAGGGACCTACAAACCACGTTCCCGAAGGCACCTACAACCACGTTCCTGAAGGCACCTACAACCCGTTCCTGAAGGCACCTACAACCACGTTCCTGAAGGCACCTACAACACGTTCCCTAAGGCACCTACAACCACGTTCCCGAAGGCACCTACAACCACGTTCCTGAAGGCACCTACAACCACCTCTTCCCGAAGGCACCTACAACCACGTTCCCGAAGGCACCTACAAACCACGTTCCTGAAGGCACCTACAACCACGTTCCTGAAGGCACCTGCAACCACGTTCATGAAGGCACCTACAACCACGTTCATGAAGGCACCTACAACCACGTTCCTGAAGGCACCTACAACCACGTTCCTGAAGGCACCTACAACCACGTTCCTGAATGCACCTACAACCACGTTCCTGAAGGCACCTACAACTACGTTCCTGAAGGCACCTACAACCACGTTCCTGAAGGCACCTACAACCACCTCTTCCCGAAGGCACCTACAACCACGTTCCCGAAGGCACCTACAACCACGTTCCTGAAGGCACCTACAACCACGTTCCTGAAGGCACCTACAACCACGTTCCTGAAGGCACCTACAACCACGTTCCTGAAGGCACCTACAACCACGTTCCTGAAGGCACCAACAACCAGGTTCCTGAAGGCACCTACAACCACGTTCCTGAAGGCACCTACAACCACGTTCCTGAAGGCACCTACAACCACGTTCCTGAAGGCACCTACAACCACGTTCCTGAAAGCACCTACAGGCCACGTTCCTGCCAAATTCCATTCCCACCTTCAAGTTGCTTCCCCGTTCCTGCCATTACATTCCCAGAATTTTCAACATGCACAGACATTTAGTTAGAAGATAATTGTTTTAAAATCCAATTGTATTACCCGTAACACAGACATTACTTTTGTGGCAGCACCCATATTTAATCAATAAGCAAGCCTGAGTCTGCTAATGAGACACTCAATATGGAAACTGGCCCAGAGTTCCCTTGTGTTGAACCAATAACGCTGATATTATGCGTCCCAGAATTCCGTGTGGCCGATGGGTGAAATATTTAATTATTTTATTTATCATTACACGGTCATAAAAGGAAATGTGCTATGCAGAAGAGCCATTGCCTGAAACGTCACCTCATATGATTCCTTGTAAGGGCACACAGTGTTATTGACGAACGTGTTGAGGGTTTTATTCACTGTGCTTGTGCACCACTGCCAACATAGGCAAGCAGCAATCACCAGATAAAATCTCTTTCTCTTTCATGTGGACAGGCAGATGTGTAAAGGTGAACTTGCTGATGATTTTTTTTCAATTGTTGCAAAATAATTCTCTTCTACTCGTTCTGAAGGCGGTTTAGCCGTCCATCACAAACCGGCCACGCACCGCAATGCGTGTCCTCACCATAATCCCACACCCCCTGCACTACGCTCGTGACAACACAAACACACATCATCCACCGCCGCCGCCACCACCATCATCATACACCCCCATCACACTCGCACATCACGGTGCCACCCACGAATCAACACGCGCGCGCCCCACCGCTGACCACTGCCATTGGGCTCGTTTGGGAATTGGGCCGATGCTTTGCCTAGGCTCGGAGCCAAAAGCTGCCAAAAGCTGCAGTGCCTCATCCAGAGAACTGGTGATGAATGATCCAGAGAAGCCACCACATCTGCCAAGCGACTCAGCTGCTGCAGCTGGTGACGGACGCGCCCCCCCCTCCGCCTCCCACTGGGTTTGGAAGTGCGCAGTTGAACACCAAACCCCTTGCTCAGCACCTGTCCATATCCCAAACCACGGAGACATGCCCGAGTGTGGGCACAGGTGAGTTATGTTACCTGGAATAACGCAATCACAGCTGCCCGTTGCTTGCTGGTATTAGTGATAAAGGTGCTAAATTAATGTGGTATTTTACAATTTTGTTCTGCTTTATTTGGTAATATCCTATTAATAAAACAATTTAACTGTCACGCTTCATTAAGGGTCTTATCTTTTGAGCGTCAAAGTGCGTACAATTTATTGCTATGGCGACCTGCTGAGCCACAATAGTCGAGAGCATGACGGACAGTCACACGCACACAAACTTCACACGCGAACTCTCCACATAATACATACACACACCATACACGCAGCCGTCACCACAGCGCTTGTGACAGGCTAGGTGCACGTTGAGGTCACTGAAGAGTGCAATGCTCGCGAGACCGGCAGGAGATCACGGGACAGACTCAGAGTGCCATGGGTTAACCGACTGATATGACTGACAACAACAACACGTACTCTAACACACTCGCACCTTTGCAAATTCCCAAACACACACAAAGACAAAATCATATAGTCTGAACAGAGTGTTGGGGGCAGTGCTGTACAGCGAGTCACCTATGAAGGCCGGCAAGGCACACGTAGGGGGTTGGTGGCCAAACACCACGCCCAGCCGCCTTTGTCTCCTCAGTGGTGATATTCACACATCGCAACCAGGTACTCATTTGAGCTGAGCCAATCTAGGGGAGACCCAGGGACCGGTGCAGAAAATCGTCACCGATGTTGGCCGTAAGCGGGAATCAAACTCGGGTCTCCGGGTTCGTAGCGCAACGCACCAACGCTCCGCCATCGCTTCCACAAACACACAACTCTTTCTCACACCTCTCACATCTTTGCAAAACTCTCTGTCACACACACACATTCACCTCACACACATTCACACCTCTCTCACACTCACGCAGTGACGCTGCCTGGCGTGCTACCATCACGCAGTGCTGCTGCATGACGACGACACTTCTGCAGAGATGGGTGTCTCACAGTCAAAATCAACACATTTCTACACACACCCCAGCAGCACCACAAACACAACGACCCAGACACACAGGGTTCTCTCTCAATGCAGAGCGCCACGGTGGCATGATGCTAACAACCTCGCCTGGTATACAGGAGGTTGTTGGTTTGATCCCGACCCTGACACCTGCTGTATAGTTAGAGTTTGTGTGTTCTCCCCGTGGTTGCGTGGATTTTTCTCCACGCCCTCTGGTTGTTCCCTCCTACATTTAGAAACATGCGTTTAGAGTATTTCCATGTGATACGCCACGACGTTGAGCTATCATTTGTGATGGCCAGGTCGCTTTACCTGGTAAAATAAATAAAACAGTTTGTGGTGGCAGGACAAAGTGGGGGGCGATTGAGGAAACCCCCCCCCCGCCCTCCTCATGTAGACCTTGAAAATTGGTATTGTATTAATATTCACCAGACAATACGTTGAGGGAGTGTTGTATTTCTGTCGTGGGGGGGGGCTCTATTTAGAAAGCTGTACATCTCAAGACTGCCCCCCTCCTCTGTGGGATAGACCCGCCTGCCTCTCGTAAAACTATCACAAACATCTGTGTGGAGAATATAAATAACAATAACCAGACAATGTCTCCTTCATTATATACGAATCTACAGAGTGGAAGAGGATATACAGAATACTATTTAGCGATTTATTTTCTCTGCAACGATGCTGACGATTATAGTGACCTTTTGTATTCTGTATAATTTTGCATCGAAATGAGACCCCCACACCTTAAAGAAAGGTCCTTTGCCTATAAACATTTGGCAGTTCACCAACTATTGGTTCTAGAAAGACTGACTCTGCTGATGACAAACTGTAAGTCATCTTATCTTGAATCAATGTTGCAAAAAATTATGCACTCCCAGAAGGCCGTGCTGTTGATGGGTTGTGAAATACTTTTACTGATGTGGAGAGATGGATATGCTCATGCACGAAGTCGTCATGAACCCATGAGCCCTAAGGGGGTCTCTTCCCAATTTTCCCATTACGCAGGCCCCATTTGTTCTTATTCGTTGTGTTTTAGTTTTCCCGCTGAGTTGAGTTCGTCAGAAAGACCCCAAATTACCCAATCATCGCCCCCTGCTGGCAGACCGATGCCTGCTCGCAGGCCAGGTGCTGAGTCATCTTGCACCAGCACGGGGACGGCTATTAGCAGTCATTAGAAGGGCCATTGCCTTAACGTCACCCAGTATTGTGTCCTTCTAAGACCAATGTTAAAGATGAATGTGTAGATGTTTTTGTTGTGCTTGTGCACCACTGCCAACGCAGCAGAAACACCATCACCAGATATTTGCATAACCATGAACATGGTACAAACCGGTTAGGAGTTTATCTGATCATAGATAAATGTCTAGAGCACTAAACATAGGTTTTACACGTTCAGATGAGAGCTGAAGGTAGCAGCCACAGTGGTGTTAATGGTCAGCAGCACTCCGGACACGGAATGTTGAGGTCACCAGTTTCATTCATCCTCCCCCGCACCCAGCAGTATAAATGGAGTTCACCACAGTCCACAGTTGGCAGCTCACGTGCGGTGGTGGTCGAGGTCAAGCAGAGGAGATGGAGAACTCTTCACACAGACACAAGAGGACTTCCCCCCCAGATCCCCACAAACCTCTCACTATCGCAATGAATGACAGGCCAATGAAGCCACACACACACAGAGACCACAAGTCTTCACAGCGCCATTCACACGATGCTCAACATTATTGAGGCGGTGCATGTTGTGAGTAATGGGCGATGACTGCAATCGTCTAAGAAAAAGATCCCACGTATAGCTTTAACAGACTCTTGGGGCAAGCGCTGTTAGCGAGAGAGCGAGCATCTATGGAAGTCGGCACGGCACACGAGGGAGTGGGTGGGTTTGGTGACCAGCACCACGCCCGACCGCCTTTGTCTCTCCAGTGGCGATGTATTTACAACCGCGAGCGGGAATCGAACAGCGCGCTAACCGTTGCGCCACTGATCTCCCCTCCCCCCTGCCCCCCCCCCACAATCGTCAAAATACACAGGCACAGGTCAACGCAAGCTCTGTATTAGCCACATCACAGCCAAGTGTGTGACGATGACGGCCATCAACAGCCGTGAGCCATCTCTGGGTTATACCTCGCAATGATCTGCACCAAATTTACATCATTGAAGCCCTTCCACCACCGAGAAAGGCCGAAACGAATTAAATTTGCACATTGATTTG